CCTGCTCTGAAAGTGAAAGAAAGATGTTCTTTGGGGCAAGGCTGTCCCTGGGTCAGAATTATGGGCCGGACCTTGACAGTAGTTGAGAAGTTAACTCCTGGCTCTTTCTTACCTTTGAATGAAAACCAAGAACCTGCTGGATTTCTGTTAACTACTACCAGCTACTTCCCTATGGCTACTTGTCCCTCAGGCCCCTTGTGAAAATAAAGGGGGTTTGCTGATGTGTTTCAAAAGCCGGGGGACAGAGGGGAATCTGGGAAGGTGCAGTGCCTTCTGCCTGACCCTGGGGAGTGGGGAGGGGACCAAAGAGTGGCTCCCTTCCTGGGTGGGGAGTCTGAGCAGGGAGGCGCTGGGGTCCACAACACACTACTGGTGACCTAAATTCAAGAGAGGAGTTTCAGTTGAGTAGATAGTGTGAAAGTCAGAATTTTCTAGAATTAAAAAGAAAAATCTTTAAAGAATACCCAGGAATAAAGACTCAATTTTTTTTAAAAAAATATATTTTTATTGAGAGGAAGAGACGGGTAGAGAGAAATAGAAACAATGATGAGCGAGAATCATTGATCGGCTGCCTCCTGCACACCCCCATTGGGATCAAGCCTGCAACCCACGGAGGCACAGAGAGAATAAGAACCTATCCCGGTCGGGCAATGTGCCCTGACCGGGAATCAAACCATGATCTCCTGGTTCATGGGTCGACGCTCAACCACTGACACCACGCTGGCTAGGTGAGGCTCAATTTTACCAGAAGGGCTCATACATCAGTAAGTATATTGGCTCCCAGAAATCCCTAGATGGCTTTCCTGCTGAGCCTGCGGGAGGATAGTTTCAGCTCCTTTTGGACGTGGAGGGCCCTGTCGTCAGTGAGCAGACCTGGTCTGCAGGGGGCTCTCCCAGGGCAGGCTGGGGGGACAGCAGGCCCACGCAGGACACACTGTCCTGTGAGCTCTACGACATCGCGCTCTGAGAAGACACGAAGCCAACACTGCAATTCTCCACGGCCCCTCTCAGCAGACTAGAGGGAGACTGGACTCGATGCTCCTGGGACCAGCTGGTGCTCCTGGGGAGAAGCTGGTGCTTCTGGGGAGAAGCTGGCTCTTCAGGAGGCGCCACTGGGAGGCAGTCAGACAGGGTTTCCTGTCTAGACCCTGTCAGGAGCCTTCGGGGTTTCTTCAGCTATTGCTCCAGCCCCGTTAGCTGTTCTCTTAGGGCCGTGGTCGGCAAACTATGGCTGGAGAGCCACATGCGGCTCTTTGGCCCCTTGAGTGTGGCTCTTCCTAAGCCTTAGGAGTACCCTAATTAAGTTAATAACAATGTACCTACCTATATAGTTTAAGTTTAAAAAATTTGGCTCTCAAAAGAAATTTCAATCATTGTACTGTTGATATTTGGCTCTGTTGACTAATGAGTTTGCCAACCACTGTTTAGGGCAGGGGTCCTCAAACTACGGCCCGTGGGCCACATGCAAATACAAATATTGTATTTGTTCCCGTTTTGTTATTTTACTTCAAAATAAGATATGTGCAGTGTGCATAGGAATTTGTTCATAGTTTTTTTTTTAAACTATAGTCCGGCCCTCCAACGGTCTGAGGGACAGTGAACTGGCCCCCTGTTTAAAAAGTTTGAGGAACCCTGGTTTAGGGTCCTGTACAGCCAATGGGAGGCTTTGACTTTGAAAGCTTCAAAGGTGTGTGAAATAATAATCTAGCAGCAGCTGCCCTGAGTGAGGTAATTAGGGACCCACAACAGATCCCGAGGGAAGGTGTCAGTGAAGCTCTAAGCATTCCTTTTGCTGCAGAAGCAGGGGACTCCGTCCCAGATGCCTGCAGGAAGTTCAGGCCAGCCTCGCTCAAACTCACCCCGGAAGGTGGGCACCCCTCTGCTGCCCCGACCAGCCAGCCCTGGTGGGTCCAGTTCTGAGGGGCTTGCCTCCGACGTCACCCATTAATGATAATGTACCTCCTGGCCTCTCACAGCCATGGGGGGAATTTAATGGGGACAGTGGTCCCCAAAGACCCCCTGCATCAGAATCAGGGAAATTGCTTGTGAGATGTGCAAACTGCCCAAAGTACATTTTTTTTTCTTATTGTTAATCCTCACCCAAGGATATTTTTCCATTGATTTTTATAAAGCGTGGAAGGGAGAGGGAGAGACACAGAGAGAGAAACATCAACGTGAAAGAGACATATTCATTGTTTGCCTCCCTCATGAACCCCGACCAGGGCTGGGGATCGAGCCTGCAACTGGTGCTCTTGACCGGAATCGAACCCAGGACTCCTCAGTCTGTGGGCTGACCATCCATTGAGCAAAACTGGCTCGGGCACCGAGGTACATCTTCAATGAGCCCCCTCCCAGTTTGAGAACCCCAGGAAGAACAAAGGGAGATGAAGGGTTGCAGAGGGAGGAAGGAGGGACGTTGGGCAGGATGGGCGTTTCTGTGCAGGCTGTGGTAGGGCCCCTGCCCAGTCTTACAGTGGGAGGAGCGTTCATGCAGCCAGGC